AGAGTCCATGTTCAGCAAGTTTGCTGATGACACTAAACGGGGAGGAGTGGCCGACATATCAGAAGGCTGTGCTGCCATTCAGAGACCTGGACAGGCTGGAGAGTTGGGCAGGGAGAAATTTAATGAAATACAACCAGGGCAAGTGTAGAGTCTTGCATTTGGGTAAAAAACAACCCCATGTACCAGTACAAGTTGGGGACTGAACTGTTGGGGAACAGCACAGGGGAAAGGGACCTGGGGGGTCTTGGTGGACAGCATGATGACCATGATCCAGCAATGTGCCCTTGTGACCAAGAAGGCCAATGGCATCCTGTGGTGTATTACAAGGGGTGTGGTTAGTAGGTCAAGAGAGGTTCTCCTCCCCCTCTTCTCTGCCCTGGTGAGGCCGCATCTGGAATATTGTGTCCAGTTCTGGGCCCATCAGTTCAAGAAGGACAAGGTACTGCTGGAGAGAGTCCAGCGCAGGGCCACAAAGATGATGAAGGGAGTGGAGCATCTCCCTTATGAGGAAAGGCTGAGGGAGCTGGGTCTCTTTAGCCTGGAGAAGAGGAGACTAGAGGGGGGACCTCATTAATGTTTATAAATATGTAAAGGGTGACTGTCATGAGGATGGAGTCAGGCTCTTCTCACTGGCATCCAATGATAGGACAAGGGGAGATGGATATAAACTGGAACATAGGAGGTTCTGCTTAAACATGAGGAAGAACTTCTTCCCAGTAAGGGTAAGAGAACACTGGAACAGGCTGCCCAGAGAGGTTGTGGAGTCTCTTTCTCTGAAGATGTTCAAAACCCGCCTGGATGCGTTCTTGTGTGATCTGATGTAGGTGGTCCTGCTCCAGCAGGGAGATTGTACTAGATGATCCTTTGAGGTCCCTTCCAATCCCTAACATTCTGTGATTCTGTAGTTGTTACAGGGGGCATTGCGATACAAAAGGCCCATGCTGCAGTGCTCTGAGATTGCTCAAATCAGATTTCCTTATCTTCAGCTAGGAAGGGTTTCTCTAGAATAGAGTGCCTTCAAGAGTGTAGCCATAAAGACACGCTCCTGCAGTATGGCTAATAGATAGGTGCAGAATATGCCGCTTGGTCATAGTAGCAAGATGAAACTACAACAGAAAAATAATTATAGGGCATTTGATGAAAAACAGTTCATTAGAGAAGTCTTACTTATTCAGAAAAAAAAAACTTTTTAAAAAATTCTAACCTGCTTTTTCCATTCCAGGTTTTTTTAAACAACTACAAGTTTACACTGAAGAGTTCAGGAAGTGGCCATTATTCAAACTTTGGTTAGGACCATTGCCTGTTGTGATTTTGTTTCACCCTGACAGTGTGGAGGTGAGCATGCTTGTCTCCTGTCTGTTCTTCTGTCATGTCATGCAAAGCGGTGTCCAACCTGTTCATTTCTATTCTCTCAATATAATTTTTGCAAAAAAGGGCTTCGACTGATTTTACTTGAGATTGTCCTCTGACTCAGTCCTAAAGAAAGGCTGAAAGCAGAAGAATATAAAAAGCCTAATCTTGGAGAAAAATAAATACCGAAGATGGCCAACAAATGAAAGCAGCGACTCTGTATGTTTTATACAAAGAAACATCTTCTTTAGCTTTGTTTTCACATATGTGAAAGCTTCTACTCCCAAGGTCAGAACGGACAAGTGGATAGTAGGGAAGATGGGACCACTGAAGTAGGGTAGAACATTATGAAATGCAAGTTGCAATGCTTGTATCTGACTGACTGACTTCAGCGTTAGAACTTGGTGGATCTGTCTTGGTGCCATGAAATGTAGTCGTTAGTTTTGCTGCTGACAGTGATTGTCCCTGAACTGGGAAGAGGGAGCTGTTACTTTGTTGGTGCATTTATTGAAGAGATGGTGGTACCTGTGAGTTTGGCTAAGGATGGAAACTGTTGGATATTCTCTGAGCTCTGTCTATGACTGTGTAACACAGACTTTTGTTTTACAGGAAGATAAGGGGAGTGGGAGTGGTACTTTTTGAGTATTTCATTGTTTCTCAGGATTGGGATATTTACTGAAAGACTTGAGGGTGTGAACTCAGTGTTCCCCCTGTGTACTGGCTTATACTGAAACATTGGTCAATGACTTTAAACTGAAAGAGGAGAGATTTAGATTAGATATAAGGAAGAAATTTTTTAGATTGAGGGTGGTGAGGCACTGGAACAGGTTGCCCAGAGAAGTTGTGGCTGCCCCATCCCTGGAAGTGTTCAAGGCCAGGTTGGATGAGGCTTTGAGCAACCTGATCTGGTGGAAGATGTCCCTGCCCATGACAGGGGGGTTGGAACTAGATTATCTTTGAGGTCCCTTCCAACCCAAACCATTCTATGATCATTTTACTGAGGCTGGGGGCATTTTTGTGGAGGAACTCAGGTTATGTGAAGTAATCTCAGATGAAGAAATCTCTCTCCATCTAACAAGTGATATTTTTTCCTTTTCTTTCATTTTTCCGACAGGTTATTCTGAGCAGTTCGAAACATATAGAGAAATCGTACCTGTACACATTCCTGCAGCCGTGGCTGGGTACTGGACTTCTGACAAGGTATGGTGAAATGTGGGTGCATTGCTGTTTTTTCGAAACTCATAAGGTATAGGATAGGAAGAGGGCTTGGTGGCTGGAATGCTCTGTGTATCTCTGGACAGAGATGTAGATGATAGCTCTAGAAGTCTTTACTACTTGTGATGGTCTTGATTGCTATTTAGCAGTCAATGTCTGATAAAAATCTTTTGGCATTATCTGTTTCTTGGCAAATTTGGCTGTTGTTACTTTTTTGTCCAGAGGCTTGAAACGAATGTGAGTTTTGGGAAGCTGTATCCTATGGCAAGTGGTGGTGTTTGGTCTGCAATGCTATGTGCTGGATGTTTTGAATGTTGTGATGCGTGTTGACTGGCTGGACTGTGGCAGAGCTGTGACTGTGTGCATTGCTTATCTCAGCTGGTGATGCTGCAAACCAGTAGGATGGGCCTGAGATTAGTGATGCTTTGGGGTAGGATGGGAGAGCATCTGCACTCTGTCCTTCACTTCCCTCATGAAGTGGAGACTTTTAAGAGGTGAGCCTGGGTAAGGGTGCAAGTCGAGTGGAGAAAGGCAAGAGCAGTGATGTAAGGGTTTGGTGTCCTCCAGTCTTGGGAGAATTGAGGAAGGTTTAATCTGGATCATGCAGATATTCAAGAGTCAGAGCAACGTGAGTGTAGAGTGGCTCTGGTGCCTTTGTGCCTCTTTGGTGTTTTTGCGAGAAGGTCAAGGTCTCCCCATATAGTAGTGGAGCTTTGTTGCCTGTTTGGAGCCCTCAGAGGTGAGCTCCTTGCGCTTCATGATGGGATCATGGTGTTGTAAAAGCCAGCTGTGGTCACGTGGTGTGGGAGGCACAAGTTTATGTGAGAAAACGAGGAATGCCTTTTATGCTGAGTTTCGTTCGTGGCCCTTAAGAAGGCTGATTAAGGGTATTAGTGGTAGACAGCAAGCAGATAAGCTAGCCTGAGACATGCCCCAATAGCAGCTTGACAGAAGTGGTGTGATGGTTTACCCTATAAGCAGAGCTGCCAGTTTTGTGCCTATGGGGCATGTGATTCAGAAAAAGTGAAGAAGAATCTCCAGGAAGCTGATGTCACCCCTGTGTCTCCATGCTCTTTCACTGACATGTGGGAGATGATTGCCTGTCTCCAAGGAAGTACTTTTTGTCAGACCTTGAGGCAGTCATTGTATAACGTCAAGGACCCTAGTTCTCTGCAATCCTGTTTTCTAGTCATTGGATGAATGAGGCTGTATTGCCTTAAAGGTTTGTTGGCATCTGCTTCTGTTGAGAGCAGCTATAGAAATGGTAGCTTGTGCTTCGGAGAGCTGGAGTGAGAAATATTTCCATTTTGCTTCTTCTGGGGAGTGCTGTGGACAGCTTGAAGAGTCATCTACAGCATGACCATCTGTGAAGGTGTTCCAGGCTGCAGTTTTTACTGTGTACTTCCTGTGATGGCGAGAGTTTTATTTTTGACTAGGAGTTTTTAACCCTTCCTTCTCCCTGTTCATTTTGCAGCACTGGAGACAAGTGGCGGTTGCGGAGGAAGATGATAACTCCCACATTCCATTTCACAATCTTAACTGACTTTCTAGAGGTTATGAATGAACAAGGAGGTATTTTGCTGGAGAAACTTGAGAAGCATGTTGACAAGGAACCGTTTGATATCTTTTTAGATGTCACTCTGTGTGCCCTTGATATCATCTGTGGTAAGTCCTCTTCAGTTACTGTGGTGGGACTGTGAATGATGCAGAGGCTCATGAGCACAGCTGTGCTGTGCCTTACAAGGAGACTGATGAAGAGGAATGTCCCTGCATGTGGTGTGAATGCATTTCCATCCTCCCAAGGCCATCCTTTCTCCTAGGGTGTCTTGTGTGCATCTGAGCAAGTGAGTTTGTGGGATGGGCAGGGCAGAGGTAGCAGTCTGAAGTGAGGTTGTGTTGAGGAGCAGGGTTCCTGGGCATGAAAATGTAAAGCAGGGTCATCACCTGGAAAGGGATGTGCGTATTCACCTGTCGAAGGGGCGGTGTGGACAGTTGGAAGCTTGGAATAGTAGTAACTTATTCTGCATACGGACTCTGCATTTCACTTTGCACTCCTGAACCATTGATGATCTCCTCCTCCTAGAAACGGCGATGGGCAAGAATGTGGGTGCTCAGGAGAATAAGGATTCTGAGTATGTTCGTGCTATCTACAGGTAAGTGGACATTTTCCTTGACTACTACTTTGTAGTTGGGCAGGATCTGATGCTGCTGGTGTCAGGAGTTCATCTTCTGTGAGCCAGGAGGGAGGGCCAGGGAGTCACAGATGGAGGTAGAAAGCCAAGAAGTCAGGAAAAACTCCTGCAGGTTTTGATGTGTTTTCTGATACAAGTACATGCTATGGGAGGCTGAGGCTTTGAAAAGGTGTCAACTGCTGTTCAGTTAATCCATTGGTACAGGAGTTTTTTTAAAAAAAAAAAAATGGAGCTGCAACATTTCACATCAACATGACTGGCAGAATTAGGAGGCTTCTGTTTTAGACAGCATGTTAAAGCTGAGACACTGCTACTCTGCAGGTCACGGCAGTATTTACACCATTCAAATTGTATGTGACTGTCCAGTGGATTAGGAAAAGTGTGGTCTGTGTTCCTGCCACACTCATGTCAGCCTAGATGAGATGTAGCTGCCTGTGGCATCTCACCTCTAGCCTTTGATGGGGCTTGCTGAGACACCTATGTTACAAAAAAAGGGTGGAATTAGAGGATTTGATTGTCATCGGTTCCTTGACCTTTCCCAAATTGCACCGCAAGTGGGTCTGAAGTTGGCCTGAATGTAATAATCACTCCTCGAAGTCTCTGCAGCCAAAAGCATGTGCAAGAGCTGAATAGTAATGACAGTCAGCCCTTCCAAATGTACTCCAGTTGTCTTTGAGCATACTTGAAGTCTCATATTCTTTATTTTAAATACTTTTTGTATGCTCTCTGGCATATATGGTCTCTGGACAGCCAAGTAGGAACGTAACGCTTTCAGATGGCTGTTTGAGGTCTTGGGGCAGATATTTGGAACCCTGGGATGGGTAGTCTTTTCAGGATGTACATGTCTTTTTCAGCGTGGTCAATGCTTTACTGATGTGGAGTGGGACTGGATTGGATGACTTAATATGTCTGTTTCAAGAGGATTCCAACTAAACGAGAATATGTTCTCCTTCTCAGAGATAAATGCTTAGAGATATAAATCATGGTGATGCTGGGACAGGGGACAGAAATTCTGAGATTGTTTAAAATCAGGAAACAAATAAGCAGAGCCTTCCCTTCAGATGAATGAGTGTAAACCCACACAATATGTCAAGTTCTGCTTCATTGAGAGAGGTAGAACTTTTTTGTTGTTGTTTTTGAAAGTGTGCTGTAAATTTGTTTTTTGTCAAGAAACATTACATGATGTAATTGTTGTGCCCTTAGGATGAGTGATCTAATCCAACAGCGACAGAAGAGCCCTTGGCTTTGGCCTGATCTTTTATATATGCTGTTCAAGGAAGGAAGAGAGCATGAGAGGAACCTCAAGATCCTGCACAATTTTACAGATACAGTATAGATTATTTATTTATTTATTTAATGATACATTTTAGTTGTTGAAATGAAGTCTTGCACTCAGTAGAGAGCTTCCAAATGGGAGTAAGGTTCAGCCCCCTTGATATGCATCTATTAAGAGGAGAACTATCTCTCTGTTGGGATGCCGAGGAATTCGCTGAAAAAAAGACAACTGACTTCCTGTCAGGAGCTCACTCAGGAATTCACTGAACTCTTGTTCTGCCTCAGATGCTCCACATCTGAATCACCTGCAACAGCTCACTGCCAAGTTTGTAGCAGTAAGCATTGGGCTCTTCTTAGTAATACCACTTGGTCCAGCCCTCAGGAATTGAAGCCTGTATTCATTTTCCCCTATTTGGAGCAGAGCTGCTGAGACAAGCAAACATGTGCAGGTCCCCACATCAACAGTAAGACACTTTGACACAGAAACCATTACGCATACGTCACTGACTTGGCATAAAAGGTAGTGTTCTCTCACCACGTTAGACTGTGCAAGTAACACCCCTTTCTGTCACCATAAAGTTCCCATGCTGTTCTTGCTGATGATTGCCCTGCCAAATCTACTGTTAGGATCTTACCAGAGAAGCTACTTTTCCCTGAAATAGATGTATGGACCCCATGATGTCATTGCGTCAATGTCCATGATAAAGGAAATAATCTCTGAACTTTCACTACATATAATGAGCCACATTGACTCTGTGTTGTTTTTAAGTAGTTCATGTTTTGCTTCCTTTTATTGGGAATTGCAGCAGTGAGACATGAGACAGGCTCTTAAGGCAACACGTTCTCTCTTCCCATGCTAGGTTTGTGCACTGAATATAAGAAGCCAAATCTTAGAAGATGACGAAGGAGCAGTAAATAATAATGTCACTGAGTGTGTGTGCTGTCAGAAAGCACTGAGACAAAGGGTGGTTCAATGTGTGTCTTTATATGTGCATGTTCAGTGAGGGAAACAGTGTGTATGTGTATATAACTGCCTTTTTTTTTCAATTCCGTGCTTCCTCTGAACAGAATTGCATTCTTTACAGCCTTTGTTTTTAATTATTTTTGTTGTTGTTGATGGCAATACCAGTTTATTGAAGGGTTCTGTTTTGCTGTTATGACAACAGTCATGACAGCAAGAAATCTGTGTCTTGGGGCTGTGCTTTGACCTTAAAAAGGGAAGTTCAACTGTTGCTCTCATACTGAAGAAAATTTGGGAAGCTTTAGTGTAGCAGTTCCAGCTGTGCTATGTGTAGTCCCGATGCAGGGTTATGGGGTGCCCTGGCTTCTCTTCAATCTCCTAGGTTCCCCAGAGGTTGGAGGTGTGATTCTTTCCTTAGTTATTGGATAGGGTAGAGAATATCTTCTCAGTGATCAGTCTGTTCAAATTGTGGTGGTGTCTTTTGATTTGCTGTTGCTATTGTTATCATTCACGATTGGCTTGTTCCAGATATTCTGGATGTGTCTATACTTCTTGATGATCAACAGGTTGTTTGCATAGTTTGGCTATCTGTTTTCTTCATCACACAAAGACTATTCAAGGTTCACTCTATTGCTTAGGACAAGAGGGGTTGGTCTTATTTCACCTACTAATACAAGAAGTCAGTTAAAGTTCATGAGCTAATGCTGACAGCTGTGCTGAGTAGCTCATGTAGACTGCTACAGGTGGATGTTGTTGTTTTAATAAGTTGGGACAAACCTGTGTGATGTAGACTATGCGTGTGTGCTGTGTGCATTGTATCTAATGTCATGGTTCTAATCTCAGGTCATTGCAGAAAAAGCTGCAGAACTTGAAAACACCAAGCAAACGACATGTGATGCTGATGGCACCTGTGCAGAAAGTGGCTCCAAAAAGAGAAAAGCTTTCCTAGACATGCTGCTGAGTGCAACAGATGATGAAGGGAACAAGTTGAGCTACAGAGATATTCGTGAGGAAGTGGATACTTTCATGTTTGAGGTACCCAACAAATCCCTTGGGGTTTTTATGTGTGTTTTTTTGTTTGGTTGGTTTTTTTCTCCCCCTCTAGAACTTGAGATTCAGCGTTTGCAGGTATGCAGGTAGAGTCTTCCTTTTCGTAGTTCAGGAGGTTGCTTTTAGTATGAAGTTATTTTAGCCCTGGAAGCCTAAGAGGAAATCTCTGTAGGATAGAAACTACTAAAGGATAGACACATTTGATCCAGAATTGTGTGTCCTGGCAAAATGTTGGGCAATACCTGTGGCAGGCCCTGCCTATGTGAGCAGGCTCTACTCATGAAAGCAGGTGAATAATAAGAGCTTCATGGCTGATGTGTGAGCCATGGACTCTCAGCTCCTGTTGCAAACCTCATTAATGCTAACGAGAACTCTAAACGGTTTCAGTGTTTTCCCTTGCATTTTGTCAGCCCTCCTCACATTTTGTCTCTTGACGCGTTGGCTGTAACCTCCTGTTTCTGTTGTCAGCTGTGTGTTGGTGTACTGTCTTCTCATGTCTGGTTCTCTGTCCAATGAAGGATCTAAACAAGACTTTCACAGGTTTTCCATATACCTCCATTAGGTGGACCTGAATTCTATCTTGGAAGAGCTTAATTCAGAGTCATATTACTGCTGTTGTAAGCTAGAGAAATACTCTTCTATTCCTGTACTCTTCTGTAGCTGGATTTTGAAAACATGCAACATCTTGAACTTTACAAGTGCACCTTTTTAGTACAAAAATCCTGTGTTGGTCAGCTTTTCCCTTTTCTGTTCTCTGTTTTTGTTTGTTTGGGGTTTTTTGGGGGTTTTGGTGGGTTTTTTGGGGCCCCCTTCGCTTTGTTTCCTTTCCAAGTTTTTACACAGTGCTGAGAACTGTAGTAGCTGTGATGCCCTTCTCATAGGAACCCAAGAAGTAGCCCTCCTGTGGCCACTGTACTGGGTCTCACTAGATGCTTTTTTGGATAGTTTTCTGAAGGTTACAGATTGAGTGCATTGCATCTCTCCTGTGGTAGTCGTTGGCCCCCTAGATGTTATGTTGTTGAATAGACAGTAACCAAAAAAGTTAGTGTGCATCTGTTTCATTGTGTAGATACTGGTAGCTCATGCAGCTTCTGAGAGGTGGAGGAGAGGGATGTTTGCTTGAGTTATTTCAGTACTTTTCCCTTTTGGTCAGTTTTCAGGCACCTGACAGAATCATGGGCCATCTTACATGCTGATAATCAGCATGTTGGATAGAGTTCTTCATTCTTGATTTTTGTTTTTTCTCATGGTCACTGGACCAGCAAGTCTCACTTTCCATACTACCTGTATACCTAAGTATTTATGAACCCTACTTGTGCACAGGATTAGTGTTGAAGTTAATATTTCTGTAAATCTGGACCACTAGGGTCATGATACAACAGCAGCTGCTATGAACTGGGTCCTGTACTTACTTGGACATAATCCTGAAGCCCAGAAGAAAATTCACAGAGAACTGGACGAGGTGTTTGGTATGTTTCCATTCCCCCCTTTATTGGGCTTGTGGTGGTCGTTGCATTTGTGAGTGGGGATGTGGTACGTTATAAGCCTAGATGTAGAAGGGGAGGCAGGAACATGCCTTGTGACCCTTCTGGAGCTTTCAATAGCTAGAGGTGATTAGGACAGGCGCGGGAAGGTCTGTAAGAGAATACAGCCAACCTTATGTTTTTGAGGCAAGGCATACATGTTCAATGTATGTGTAGCACCTTCTCCTATGTGGTCTTGGTGCATGATGAGAGTTCCTGGAGGGAGCTGGGATAAATTTGGTTAACCAAAAATGAGGAGTTTTGGTCTTGCTCATCTCCCTATTTGGTTTTGGACAGGCAACACTGAGCGTCCTGTTACAATGGACGATTTGAAGAAGCTTCGATACCTTGAGTGTGTTGTGAAAGAAGCCCTTCGGATCTACCCTTCGGTTCCGCTGTTTGCCCGTTCCTTGAGAGAGGATTGCTATATTCGTAAGTGGTGTCATGCGTTTGCCACTTCCTATTCTGCTAGCATCTCCTCAGTGAAGGTGTTTCCCGAGTAAAGGGCAGCATTGTTTTACTTATTTACTGTCCTATTATGTATAGAAAGTCACTTATTTGTCATTCTTTTGACTGTTCTTCCCTTTTCTCTTTAGGAGGATATCAGGTACCAAAAGGCACAAATGTTCTTGTCATAACTTATGCCCTGCACAGAGACCCTGAGATCTTCCCTGACCCGGAGGAGTTCAGACCTGAGCGATTCCTCCCTGAAAATTGTAAGGGAAGGCATCCGTATGCTTATGTGCCCTTCTCAGCTGGTCCCAGGAACTGCATTGGTAGGTGGCTGAAGAGGGAGCCCTTGTAGTTTGACAGTGCTGCTTTTGGTGTGGTAACTGCGATAGTAGCGAGTGTATCAGAAATTTAAGTCTTGATGTGCCTGCTGGTCGTGTCCTGTCCTCACCCCGCAACCCACCCGCCCCCGCCCTTGAATTCTGGGCACTGGCTCCCCAGCAAGCCTGGTGCTTGAGCTGCCACGTTTTGTTTCTTCCCAAGGGGCAATGTCTATCCTGCTGGTGTTTCCTCCTTGCTGCCCGTGCAACCCAGCAGCATGTTAATGAGCTCCTGCATTAGGACAGGATTGCTTCAAAATTTCTGATCCTCAGTGTCAGCAAGACAGAGCGAGGGAAGGCAAATGTCCTGCACTTGTTTTGCTCTGGAAACATCTTGCCTGTCTATCTCACGATCTCAGCTGGGTGTCTCAAACATGCAGTCTGCAACTGATGTATTCTTTCCCTCTTTCTGACACAGCTGTTGCTCTGGTGTTCTTACTGCCATCCTAGAACTTGTTAGCTCTTCAGCTGCCACTGAGACACTTGGCATTTATCTGCGCTCAAAGTAGAGGCATTGTTGTTTATACTGTAAAACACATGAAAAGACTGTTCCCTGCACTGATCTTAAGTGCAGATGGGGAAAATTCAGCAATTGTCATGGCATTTATGTCAATAGGAAATACAACTTCTTCTGGGTTTCTGATTTTGTTTGGTTTCTTTTTGTGGGTTGGGTTTTTCTTTTGTTTGTTTGGTTTTAATTTGTCTCATTGAGAATAAGTGCCCTTCCTACAAGAACAGCAGACTAGGTCTTCTCATGTTCCAAAGAGGAATCTAATTTAATATTACATGTCTGTCTAGTTCCTGGGTGTACAGGATCATGTACAGGAGAGGTGGTTCATGATATGTCATTGCAGAAATACATCACTGTGTACATGTGTGCAGACATCCATCTATGCATATTATACAGAGAGGAACACAGGAAAAGTTTGGAGCACTGGGCTCTGTATCCTGTTCCCATTTTCAGTTTAGTTTGAGTGAACTGCCTGGATTTTGATGCTTGTTTTGGTTTCCCTTTATGTTTCTCTTGTTCTCCCCTTTCCTTTTCGAACTTTCTGTGAAATGTAAATTGAACTTTGCCTTCTGTGCTGCCAAATCGTCAGTCTGTGTGATGCTTAGTGTTCATCAAAGGAAGATCTGCCTGTCATTCTGTTAAAGTTGTATCTCCTTTGCTGCTCTCTGCATATATGGAAGAGTGGGATTTGTCTCTCCTTGCAGTCCCTGTGCTGCATCTTCTGCTCTGGTCTGTTCCCCCCTGCCTGGTCCATCCAAGAGACATGACAAGGCTGTGTTTTGTATTAGTTCCACGTAAATCGTTGACTGTTTCCTCTTTGCTGTTTGAGTTTTGTGAAAGAGATTGTGGTCCCGGGAAGGCCAGAGTTGTCATGAAGAGAAAAGTGCTAGTTTCAGTAGTATCTGTATGACCTCGATTTTTCATGTAAAGCCAGTTCTGTTCTCAAGGCAGATGCAGTCTTTGCTGTCCTAGGGGTTTCACTGTGAGCAAGCAAATGGAGCAACTGTTGATGCAACCTGACAATAACATAATTTTTTTTTTTCTGTTCTGTAACTTGTAGGTCAGCGCTTTGCACAAATGGAGGAGAAGACTCTTCTAGCCCTCATCCTGCGGCGCTTTTGGGTGGACTCATGTCAAAAGCCAGAAGAGCTTGGTATAACTGGAGAACTGATTCTTCGTCCAAGTAATGGCATCTGGATTAAGCTGAAGAGGAGGCCAAATGCTGTATCAAAGTGAAAGGACGTTCAAGACTGTTTTTCCAAGATCTTCCAAGCTATTTAGGCTGAGATATGTTTTTAAATCAGATATTTTGATGGCAGTCCAGCAATTCATTAAAACTAAAGTCGTTACTGATTGTTTCATTAAAGATGATGTAAGAGCCCTGAATTGCTCTACTTTTCTAGTACATGTGAACTTCACGTTAATCTTCGAAGTGCAAATCTTTAAACATCAAATCTTAGTGCCTTATCTACTCAGATGAAGCTATTCTAATGCAGCAGTGCAAAAAAAACCTTAAATTACTTTAGTAACAACAGTAATGCCTGTGATGGAATGATCTGGTTATATTCCATAGCATTTGCGAGGTAACCAATAGTCTCAAATCTTTGTACATTTTTCAAGTTCCTTTGGTTCTGAAAGGTACAAGTGATCAATTCTTCCACTTGACACAACTTTTTTTCTGTTTTAGTGATGACTGCATCTATGAAGACAAAGCAAAAGTCTTTGATAATTTCACCTCTTTTGTAAGCGTTTACAGCAGTTCTTAAGTAGTGAGTGCTCGGAATTCTTTTTTAGTAAAGTGTACCATAAGCATTAATGTGTATCATACCATGAACTAGATAGCATGCACATTACACACAAGATTTCATAATGACAGAAACACTGTACTATTACAAATTTTGAGAATAATCTTCTACTATGCCTCAATATGGAATGAAATTATATCTGTAAAAATTACATGCCTGGGTGCAGGTAAATTACTGATGGATAATTATTTCTTATAATCAGTTTCTCTAGGATGATAAATCCACCAGCTTATACTGTGTTAGTCAAATTGAAACAATCAGCTAGTCTGCTCTTGCCTTCTAGGGTCCTGAAGACAACATAGAAATAGAAACATAGAATATCTTGAGTTGGAAGGAACCCATAAGGATCATCGAGTCCAATTCTCTGCTCCTCACAGGACTACATAAAACTAAAATATATGACTGAGAGCATCACCCAGACACTCCTTGAAGTCTGATAGGCTTGGTGCTGTTACCATATGCCTGGGGAGCCTGTTCCAGTGACCAACCACTCTCTCAGTGAAGAACCTTTTTCCTAATGTCTGATCTGAACTTCCCCTAATGCAGCTTCATTCTGTTTCCTTGTGTCCTATCACTGGTCATCAGAGGGGAGATCAGCACCTCCCACTCCACTGCCTGCCTTGAGAAAGTTGTAGAGTGTGATGAGATCACTCCTCAGTCTTCTCTTCTCCAAGCTGAACTAACTAGATGACCTCAGCCGCACCTCATAAGCCTTGCTCTTGAGGCCTTTCACCATCTTGGTTGCCCTCCTCTGGACACACTCTGGTAGTTTCATAGAAACATTTAAGTTGGAAAAGACCCTTAAGGCCACAAGTCCAACCATTTGATGTCCTTATATTGAGGTGTCCAAAACTGCAAACTCGAGCTGGGGCCACACCAGTGCAGCATAGAGTAGGACAGTCACCTCCCTTGACCAACTAGCTATGATGTGCTTAGTGCGCCCCAGGACATGGTTGGCCCTTTTGGCTGCCAGAGCATGCTGTTGACTCATGTTCAACTTGCCATCAACCCAAACACCCAGATCTGTCTCCATGGCACTGCTCTCCAGCCTCTTGTCCACCAGTTTGTATGTAAAAATCAGGATTATCCCATCCCAGGTGCAGAATCTGGCACTTGCTCTTGTCAGATTGCATATAGTTGGCAATTGCCCAACTTTTGGGTTTGTCCTGCTGCCTAGCTGCTCATTTTCATGAAATCTGCAAAAATCTTGGGCAACCAGGCAAAAAGCAGCTTCTCCACCTTCCAGCAAGGAAACTGGGTTTTATACTCCCATGTCTTGTACTCCTTACCTTGGGGTACTGAAAACAGGAGGCGCAGAAATGTTCAACACCCAACCATAACAGAAGCTACAGAAAATACAGGAAGGCCAACACATTGAAACTTGTTCATGAAACACTTCAAATAACAGAGCAAAGCCATCACGTCCCTTACAATTGCTTTTTAAGCTTACCACCATTTGATTCTAATTCAGATTTTGCCCCACTGGTATTAGTTACCTACAATAAAAGACTTTGGCTGCTCAGCTCGTGTTCTGACAGTTATTTTCCAACATGTCCAAGAGGAGCAATTTAATCACAAAATGCCTGGGAGAAAGGACTTAGTTATCCATACCTTGCTGTAAGAATTGCCTTTCTAAAGTTTTAAATGGAGAACCTGGAACATGAAAACCACTTGCTATAGGTGGAGGAACATACTTAAAACTGCACTCTTCCTCTCAGCCAGGGCAGAGGTTTGCAGGCAAGATCCATCTGCCTCAGGCAACACAGATGGGATGTTTACTCTGATTGCCAAGAAGCAGTTTATGATTAGCTCTGCCTGGAGTCTCATTAAATTAAATTGCACACAGTTGGTTTCAAACCCTGTTCCTCCTGTAAGCACTCACCTGTCGATGGTGCTTTTCAAGTTTAGTTTCCCTGCAGAGCAAGAGAAAGTACGGAGCTTTGCATAAATTTTTGTTCGGAAGAATGAGGCCCCTTCCTACCTAAAATAAATATGGCCCACCTCTAATGATTAATGTGTTACAGAGTAAGAAAAGAGTAATCCGTGCTTATTGGTTTTGTTGACCTTTAAAGATTCTTTTTTGTCTGTTTCCTTGTGCCCTTTTAACAACACTTAGTGATTTAATACCTGGGATACTGCTGGGCTTTGTAGAACATCACAATAGAGAGAAAATAATTCCTCTATTTTCCAAGTAATTAGAGGTTTCCTTGAACCTGCTGAATTCTTTGTATTCTGATAAATCTAGATTTTACTGTTTTCTTAACAAGATCTTAAAAAAAGAAAGGCTATAACTATTTAGTTTACATAAATGAAATCACAGACTTTAACAAATAGTTTATTGTAATTGCTACCTTTCTTCTGCTATTAAGAAAACAAGTCATGCAACAATGATAATATAGTTACTTTCTTCAGTCTGCATTTTCAGACAGGTTTCATTGCTAGATAATAACAAGAATTGAAGTTTAAGGGCTGATTGTAGAAATTCTTTTCTTTATAACGAGATCGCTTTTGAGAGTGCCTTCTTATGTTAATACACATAAGACAAATGACACGTGTTTTCCAAAGAAATTCTAAATTAAGGAATTATTAATGCTTTTGGGTACTTGGTAATGTGAGCTTTGCGGGTGTACAAGATTTGCATCTGGAATATGCTTTCTCAGGACATTTGGTATGTAGTTGAAACCTGGAGAGAGGTACCTCACGTGTTTTGTTAAACTGTCCTTGAGGACTTTCAAGATAAATGAAAACTAATATTAATTCTGTTTCTTCTGTGGGGTCTGTTTTGTGGAAATAGTCTTTAAAATTGACCAAACTATAACAAATTATCTCCATAAGGAGATAATTTTTGTGACATCTATCTACAATGACCAATATTTTTGCTTGCGCTTTGTTTTTGTGCCACACTCTCCTCATGTAATGGAATCTCAAGTAAATTGTAATTTCTTTATAATCTGTGATGGGAGCAATTGAGACAATGTCCTGGGTTTGGCTGGTATAGAGTTAACTTTTCACAGGAAAACTGGGAGGGGGCACAGTGTGAGCAGCTGGCGCGAATTAGTCAGAGGGCTATTCGATACCATATGATGTCATGCCTGAAGAATATATATTGAGGGAGCTAGCTGAGGGAGGGGCTTTTTTGCATCTTTGCTGATAGCGAGCGGGCTGGGCTTCCGGGTTCCGTGTGGTGAGCAATTGTATCACTTGTTTTGTATTGCTTTTTTTATTAATATTATCGTTATTATTATTTTCTATTTTTTTTTGCACTGTTCTATAAAACTGTCCTTAACCCAACCCACGAGTTCTACTCTTTTCCTCTGATTTTCTCCTCCCACTGAGGAGGAGGAATGAGCGAGTGGCGGCATGGTTGCTTAGCTGCTGGCTGGGCTAAACCAAGACAGTCCTTTTTTGATGCTGAATGTGGCACATGAAGGGTTGGGATAACAACAGATCTGATTAGAGCGGGTTAAAAACCAAATTTGTTATACGTGTTTATCGTATTAGTTAAATAGTTGCTGGTCATAATGTTGTTTTGGTTGCTCACGCGGCTGAGTTATATAAATGATTAATGCCTTATGTATTCTCTGCGGTGATGTTCATCACTGCTGGGAGAGGAGTCAGGGCTCTCATTGTGCTGTCCTGGGTAGTATTGGCTTATGATACGATCATGGTGCTGGCCACGCAGCTGGGCTGTGTACGTGGCGTTGGCATCGTGCCCATGTCTTGGGCGTCACATCTCGGAATTTGTTCATAACCGCGCCCGATCTATGGGGAAAACAGGAGAGGATCCTTTCCCTTGGTTCTTCACCCCCTCCTTTCTCATTCAGGCTAATTACAACGGCCTTTGAGGATTTTGAATACTCTGAAAGTATTCTAGCCAGCACGGTCTTAATGCTTTGTCTCCCGAAGGTGTTTCAGGTTTTGTTTGGGGTTAAACAACTATTTAAAAATATCACACAGAGATCTGCTCTGAGGCCACATAGTTATGAGTGGCAGGGTATGTGGGAGAACATGGGCAAATGCCTGAGATGGTTGACACCTCCAGTGTTTCAGAACTTCACCTCTGAACAAGTGCAGAATCCTGAAAAACTAATAGAACGTTTGCAAAAAGTATGCTGCCACCCTGGAAATCCCTGGGAGACCCAGATCAGTGCGATGTGCTGTGACCTGGCCCATGCCTACCGAGCTGCCTTAGCTAACACTACTCAGTACCCTCAAAGGGAAGAGGAGGTCCCTGGATCTGATGACAAAATGACAGACACTGCGGCTAAACCAGAGAACCCACCTGTTCCTGTATCAGTCGCCCCTATACAGAAGTGCATAAAGAAATCAGTTTGCTTAGTGAGAGATGAAGATGAACCAGGGCCATCATGAGAACAGGAGGAGGATGAGGCAGAGCCCACACATGAGACAGTGACCATCCGATCCCTATCT